GTCGATCTTGCACTCACTAAACGCGACACCAACTTTACCTCATACGCACATGTAAACACATGGCTGAGTATAATTACACTATATAAACACAATTTTTTGGAAGACAAATTACGGACAAGTCTGACATAATTAAAAGTTTAATCGGATTGCCACATAGTACATGGACTCGGGTTAAGTATTGAGGTGGAAGAGTTGATCTGAATCAAGTTCAATAACGTGGAATACTCTGATAGCGATGATGCATCCGTGACTCGTGAACAAGATTGAAGTGGAGGTATTCATCTCAGTGTTATGGTAACTACATCAGAGAACTAATTTTTATAGTAGTAGCCTTCTAGGAAAAGAAAATGGTATTATATAGAATAATGTACAGAATAGGACAGATACATGGCAAACCCACAACATCCACAATAATTTCTTGATGTTTCCGATATCCTGTAAATGAGAATTCAAATTTGCTTTTATTATTTTTGACAGGTGTAATAAAAAGGCGACGAGACCGGTTTCCGCAGGGCAGTAAGTGGTATTATGAAAATTGTTTATGATAAACTCGAACGGACAGGGGAAAAATGATGAAACTGCGAAGTGTCATTGCTGAGTTGGTTTGTGATGTCGCGGTATTGACACGTCACAGTGATGGACACAGCGTGGAAATTAGATGTAAATTGTAAAATAGGTAAAAAGATAAACCCGATTCCAGTTATCGAGATGATTTCTTTTCAAATCAAACGGAACTATTGAATCCGTCCGCTTCCTTCCGACACAATCATCATAAATATACCCCAACCTTGACCGATTCCTCCTCCCCCCAAAAGACAGTCTGAATATTCACAATACGAATTTCCATCGATGTTTTCTCAACTCACGACCCGATTTACAAGCTTGATCGAGAGGATCACACCCTGTCGCTATGGCGACGTGAAATAAAGAGATACTAATTTCGCATTGATGAATAGTTTTGCAGTTTGGTGTTAAAACGGGAGAGGCGCGACAAAAAGAGACTATCACGGAGTTGGACAATGGTTTCGTCGAGTGAGAATTCTTGGTATGGCGAACTATAGGAATCCATCACGTACACATTGTGCCGACAGACAATAGACCGTGAAGCGATATTTGTGCCAGAAGCGAAAATCCACGATCAGGTCGTGAACTCTCGATGTAAAAAAGACAAATTAAACAAATGATTTGTGAAATTTACGTGCGGTTTGAAAAAAATCATGCGTTTTGTTGAATTATGATTTTGATAAATGACGTTGTCAATCACAAGTTACACCTGCTATCAGACAGCAAATGTACCATAAGATTCCACAGAGCGGAGAGATAAACACCGCCGCCAACGGATAATAGCAGAGAGCTCGTAAACTAACAGCACACACCGCAGACCGAATACTAGTATGTCACTTCATAATTTCACCATTACGTTTTTATGCTATAACACAGAAAATGAGAAAAAAAAATGGGTCATCGGACAATTTGTGGATATACGAGAGTCTGGATGTGAAAAAGGTTTCGAAGTGAAAGTATACAAGATATATAAAACAATCATTTCAATTTACCGCGAATTTTCACATATTGTCCTTTATAGGCAATGGAATTTATCACGAAGATACAATTTTTGCGGAGTTTTGACTGCAACAGAAAGCAGCTCCAGCACGTTACAACCTTGAAACAATAGGGTCAGTGAACGAAGGTAGTGTAAAATACTTTTTGCTTGGAACTAATTTTCGCTAAAGGAATGATTCAATGAAAATAAAATCCAGTGAATATACTTTTTTTTCCCCTATATTCTACATTCAACTCGTAAAAAAGTAAATTCCATACAAAACACCAAAAAAGTATTTTCAGCGAAAATGAATTCCAGTGAACATAAAGTATTGTACAGTAGTTTGAATGCGTGTATGCAGCGTCCTTAACCTGGAGAATTTGTTACTTATATTACTCGGACGAGGGCGCTAATTACTAATAACGCAGTTTTTAGCACCGCTGTCGACGAAGTCGAGCGGAGCTTATAGTATTACTGATTGTCCGTCGTCGTCGTCGCCGTCGTCAACTTCACATATTCGACTTCTTAAAAACCACAAACTGTATAGCTGTGAAACTTTGCAGGAAGGTACTTTGGGTGGTTCTCTCAGATTTGTTCATTTCGTGTGGATATGTTCAATTGTCTTATTTATAGTGAATATTTTTGATCAAAAATGCTATTTTCGACTTCTTGAAAATCGCTAGCCCAAATGCTTTGATACTTGGTATGCGATAAATGACCTTGAGTGGACCTCCCTCAGATTTGTTCATTTTGTGATGATATCTTTAATTCTCTAATTTTGATGAATATTTTTGTCATTTTTGGTAAAAAGTGATATTTTCGACTTCGTCTAATTGCTTTGATATTATATATACTACATAGGTACTACATGTAGATCTCTCAGATTTGTTAATTTCGTGGTGATTTTGTTCTTCAATTATCTAATTTTAATGAATATTTTTGATAAAAAGTTATATTTTCAAATTGCATTGAAAACAGCGGAGCTATCTCTGACAGGCTGCTAGTTAAATATTTGAGACAATAGTATCCACTTGGAGACTGTGTTACTGAAACTACCAGCAATTATTTTTCGTAATTAACAGTATAGCCGTGACGGGAAAACAAGTATTCATAAAGAAGACTGTATTGTAGGGGAATATGTTGGTATACAAATCTCTGCTCCCGCAACTGCACCGGTGGTTAATGTGAAATGTATTATAGAACGTACTTGCCACAGACCGTCACGGTTGGGATCAACACTAATTTCAATACACCAAATATTGCAAGCAATTCTGAAGAGTTTCATTCCTGTTTAAAGCATGCCTTCTTGTGAACTTTCAGATGAGAACTGTCCTTGTCGGACTATTGTCATAATTTTAGTCTAAAAATAGTCAGGATTGTAGGAGACAGAATAATACAGTAGTAAAGTGGAGGAGTCGTCACCTGCGCATGCGTCAGATGACCATGGCGTGTCATTGTTTACAAACAAGCGTCTACCCATGAGCCTTTTTAGCGTGTGTTATCGGCTGGGACTCAGTTCCCGCGCGTGCGCAGGTGGCGATCCTCCCACTTTAAGTGAATTACGACTATCAAAATGAACTATTTAGCGTAGCACTCGCACCAGACGTGATTTACATAGTACATAAAAAAAGAATTGTCTAAATTTAGGAAAAAGTAACGAGAATTGAGAAAGGAAGGCATATCCAGGCAGACACCCTCATAAAACAGAGGATGAAACGTTCAAAAAGCATTAAAAGTTTTGTAAACCGGAGCTTCACAATACGAAATGAAATTGCACAATTTTTCTTTGGAATTTCTTGCACATGCATTACTTTTTGGTTTTTGTTACCTACACATTTATTGCAACAACTGAAAATGCAATAAAATGATACTGAATCTGGGTCACAATCTTCTATTATATACATCAAGAGCTGTGATTTAAACAAACCAACCAACTCACACTAGCTGAAATAAAACATGCATAGCCCATCTGCTAGATTTTATTACCTAGAAAACACCCATGAAATGTACAGTCAAGGATAGAACACAACCATTCTCAAAATGGCCACCAGAGGGAGACAAACATGAAGCGCCAGCAAAGTGCATGTACAACTTTTACCAAATCTGGCAAAAAATGCATATTTTGGTGCAAATTTACTGGAAAATGTACACTAAACTTATTAAAACTGCATGATTTGAAGTGCATTATTCTAATGAGACAGAGAAAGCATATACACAGTTGAAAATACAGTGAAAAATAGTATTATATATGCACAAGACATTGATGATGTATTGATAGCAATAGGGATAAAACGTGATAACAATGATCTATGATTCAAACATTTTCTAAGCATGCTACTTTAACACACTATACATCATCTGAAAGGTTAAATATATGCAAATAAAGAGTGCATATGCTGTACCAGAGTCCCTTTGTCCCAGTAACAATGTTTGTCTAAAATACCCGATGAATTTCACTATTGTGCTTTTTAGGCTGTTCTAGCTACAACGAAAGATGGCAAGTCTGTAGTTATTTGGTCCTGCCACAAATACTAGGGCAGATAAAGAAATCAATGTGAAAACGCATGTGATCGTCTAGCCTACTGTCTTGAATCACAGGTCATTTGCACTACTGAGAAAAGGGGTTAAAAAAATTGGTGTGGCATATGTACTCCCGTGTTTATCGTTATATTATTTAGAAGATGTACAAGTTGTGACAGTAGCAAGCTTAGTAACTTTAAAAGAATATCGGAACCACAAATTAACTCATTTTACCTCTGTTGCTATCCAAAAACAATTACAGTACTTGTTTTGTTATGTTATTATCACTATGGGAACCAAGGTGCTAATTAATGTACAAATACAATGCCAGATTACTTAACACCCAGAGTTGAATGACTCAGATGTTTACAACAGTTTTGTAATTACCACCATGACCACCAATGCAGTACTAGTATATTGTCAACCCCATGACACCCAATTGCCACAGCTGCAGGGGACAAGCATCCATTTAAGCATCCTTCGCACCATGTGCTATGAGCAATGTGTCACAGCAGACAGGTGGTACAAGTTTCCCCTTGGTCAGCATACAGATAATATACTTCCCAATTTCCATTATATTTTCCATTATATAAACCTCAAATTGACAATATAATATTAGTTTTGGTTTTCAATTGACTAGGTTTTAATTTCACTATTTGAAAAGTTATATTTATTACATAGAATCCACATGAATATATAAAATTACAATAGAGCTTGTATGTGACTTTGCAACCCAGACAATTAATCTAAATTTATATACCAGATAATAGTAAAGCTGAAAGACAAATCTTCCATAGGAAATACAAAATATTGTTTACCTTGGGTAATAAATTGTTTTGTCAGTCAAGAAACCCATTAAAAAATATAGACAGAAATATACAAATCTTGTTGAAAGACTAAAGTTCCTCTATAAAATATTATTTCTAGAATTCCCAGCTAAGTAAGAAAATAAATGAACTTTTATTCAGAAATAACTACATCAATGAATAAACAGGCTCATATTTACCCACAATGCCCTGTATGTAAACTAGCATTGCCATATGCAGTGCCTACTATGGTCTTTGTAAATGTATTAGAAAGCATCAACGTACGTCCAAATTGAACAGAAAATTAAATAAAAGCTGTGTTTGACTGCAAACGCAGTAAAAAATCAATATTACTCTTCAGCCTTTTCAAGTATCAAGATGTCAAAAATATTGTTAAAGGCAGGTAGTCATCGCGCCATGCATGCACAAGATATATGGGTCTCATATAAACAAAGATGGTGACTGACTATTGCGCAAATCAACGAGTACAAAATGAGATGTTACCAAGGTATTTTTAGGTGATTGGAAGGTATCTAAGGAGTGCAACAGTAGAAATTAGTGCATGTCGCGCCCAGGTCAAATCTCATACTTGTGATTTCCATTAGAAGAGCACATTGGATTGTGGAAAAATCAATGTTTATCAACACAAATGTCGCACATGTGCAGCGCGACGACTGACACCCTTCAAACCCTTATCCTGAAAGCAACAAGTATTTTTACATTGATTAGATGAGGATCACAACCTGTGCACAATTGTATTTTGTCCACAATGGTTAAATGCAAAACAAAGAATGAATCATTATTTCACAAAACTTGGCAGAATACATGGTGGTAAAAATGCTAATAAAATAAAGGTAGATAATTTATACATGATATTTTTACCTGCATGTAAAAATGGTATAAACCAATATTTGTGTTACAGTGGCTATTAAGATTAGACAATGCCACTGTACAGCTTATAAGGGGTGAAAAGGTTGGTCAGCAATATTACCTTACAAAGAATAGTGGATGAGGAAAAAAAACTGTGAAAGTTTTTTACAAGTTGTCACAATGAGCTGAGATAATTTACTGTTAATTGGAAGTGAAGATTTCTAAAAATATTTCAGATAAACCATATTTATTTCAGAAAAGTATCTCCAGGAACCGATGACTACTCGTGTAGAAGGGAAGCCAATTTTAAAGATTGTGTTTAAGTACAGTTTTATTTTATTTTTGATGATGAGAGAAGTAAGAAAGAAAAACTTGTGTAAGTGACCATGCAAGGTACATTTTATTGGTCTTTAATTATAGGCCTATTAATAACCGAATGCAAATGTAATAATAGCTTGTCATATGACAAAACCAGTGTCAAACGGGAGGTCACTGGCCACTTTTAAGATGGTGTTTATGAACAGATCACTTAAAAAGTAAAGTCTGTGTGTCCAAAGAAGTCTTCATAAAGTTGGTTACTAACACAGACTTATTGTTTCTTATACATTAAAGTCAGAATCTAATCCAAAAGAATAAAGATATATACATTTTCCAAATCAAGTGTCATATTGCAACAAGGTGATGTTGTGATAACTGTACAAGTAACAAGAGCAGTGATTGGTGGATACAAATATTATCCACCAATCACACACATTGTTACATGTCAGTGCAAAGCAGCTGACCAATTGCAGTCAAATTTGTCATCTTTTGACATGTGATTGGTCAACATACCTCACATCAAGAAATTATTACACATCAACAAGTATATTCTACAAATTTATATCTAATGATCTCATCAAAGAATTACCTGAAGTATCAACAGATACAAAGGTGTCCTAAAAATTTAAACTTGGTAGAAAATATTTGAGATGTAGTAATGCATGTAGTTTAAACTTTATCATCACAGTTTATTCGCGACTTTGCATATACTCTTTCAACAATCGTTTCACTTCTTTCCAATCTCTTTGTGTGTGACCATTTTTTAATTTGGATCTCTCATTTTCCACTTTTGCCCATTTTTGTTTCAGATATCCCTCTCTGACACCTGCATTCACATGTGTATTTTGTGACTTGTACACATCATTTTTAAGGGAATTTTTATCCTCATTTTTGTGAGGTGTGTAAACATGACTGAGCATCTCCTTTATGAGGATTCTTCGTTCTTCTGGGTCTAAAGATTCATCAAACATTGGATCTGGATCGTCCTTATAGATGTCAATAGAAGGGACATTTTCTACCGTGCTACTATCAACATTAGAGATTTCATTCCCATCAGTATCAATAACCACTCCATTAAATCCATCATCAGTGTCGATATTACCATCAGCAACGTTGTTGTCCGAGTTTGGTGGCAACTCCACGTCATTAGCGAGATTTTGTAGCTCTACAACGATCTCTTCATTGGAAGCTTGTTCCTGATTATAAATTTCAACAATGGTGTCTGGATCACTTTCACCAGCTTGGTCTGGGTTGACTGCAGTGTTGTCTGTTTGTGTACTAGTTTCTTTATCGTTTTCGTCTGACTTCCCACCAGAACTTCCTCCACCAGAGTTTTTTTCCTCATCGCCTGCAGTTCCATACAGTGTCATCCCAAACATTTTCAATGATGCTGTCAATGAATCACGAACTCTCGGCATTGTACCCGGCTTCTCAATAGGTGGATTCATGTACGCTACTTGCGGATCCGGAATATATCGAAATTCAAGCGTCCAGATACCATTAGGGGTTTCACCCCAATTATGAACTGTCATGAACGGCCAATCAGTGAGGCCATCTTCGTTTTCATCCCACATCCGTGTTGATAGTAGTTCTGATTTTGTGCCGCTGGGTGAATACAGGTATATGCTTATATCACCGCGGCGTGGTGAAATGAAACTTATATGAGCTTGAGTGTGTTCTAGCTGTGTTATAGTACAATCAGTTACTTCCAATGTGATGTTCTTAGATGTACCTTTGGCTACTTTGCTGTGAAACAAATGAAACAATATATTATTATTTATATATATTTCACTTCTAAGGAAGGTAATGAAAAATGCTATAGATTTTAAACATAATGGGGACATATCCCTGGAATCAAAATTAATTTATGATTGGTCATTACAGTTTTATTTTCAAATTTGAGTGTGAAAATAATTCCCCATTTTGAGTGTGGTAATATTGTCAATAGGCGACTTTCTGTTGACTGCAAGATCTTGTGTATTGTGTGAAAAGTGCACACTTAGCTTCTGTCACAAAAATCAAACAATTTGATTTTGAATTTGAAATTATTTCTTTATATACTTCAATGCTGAAATGCTGAATGAAATTTTTTAGAAGGAAATATGGAATTGAGATATCCTTACTTCATTGAAATTTAAACATTATTAGCATAGAAATATCCATAAAGATCTTTCGCATTTGTTAAATTATACAACATGTTTTGACATCACTATGACGTCTTTGCTTGTCCTGTTTTTATGATTTATTTCAGGCATAATGCAGATCACAGTGAACAGAAAATGGTCTGTTATTTACTTAAACGGAAGGATCGTCACCTGCGTACATGCAGGAATTGAGTCCCAAGCAACAATAGCAACACACGCTAAAAACACAAAGGCTCATGGGTAGACGTTTGTAAACAATGACACGCTATGGCCATCTGACGCATGCGCGGGTGACAACTCCTCCACTTTAATATGTAATATCTACAATGAATGTTTGAGTTTCTTTGATGACAACTATATGTATACAGGTGAAAAATAATGATAATTTCACCCAAAATGATGAATGAGCGAACGAACGAACGAACGAACGAACGAACGAACTAACAACCCCCCCAAAAAAGGACAGGAAACTGTAACTCACACATCAAAGAAATTCTTCCTATCGATATCACATTGCAACTGAGGCCCAACATGTTCCCATGTCATGGCTAGCTCTACCATTTTACCAACGTCCAGTAAACCAAATCCAAACTTGTGATTCAAATGAAATCCAGCACCGTTGATACTCCATCCTTCCTGGGTTGGGTTTGGAATGTTACTTCCATGAACAACGATATGTTGCACATCTCTCCAGGTGAGATTAGGACTGCAATAAAGAAACAATCAAACTTATTTAAATCGACACAGACAAATCTTGTTTGATGGGAGTTTCATGTGATGTATACTGTAAACCACTCATTTTTGCTGCAAGGAATTTTTGAGAGTTTATATAATGTTATAGCATTTGTGAAGACGAAATTTCAAAAAACACGCTAACACAGTTACAAAATTTTACAATTTTTACTGACTCGTGAAAATTTGGCTCTTAAATAATTAAAGTGGTTTACGGTGCAATGAATGGGAATACTTTCTACTTTACCCTCCCCCATCCCTTACTATAACCCTTCTGCCCCCTAATTAAGTTGTATATGCCCATCCAGATAACTATTGGTGTCATCAAGATGGGCAATACAATTAATTTGAAGGGCAAAAAGAGGGTTGGGGTTGGGGTAAAGTTAGGATTAGAGATGGGGGAGGGGTTACATTGGAAAGTCTTTTCCAATGAAGACAAAATAAAACTTTTATATCATCATATCACCCTTTGCAATTAACAGTAATTATTTACGAACATTTATAACCAAATAACAAAGAGAGTCAATTGAAAAAACACAAACACATTCTTCAGTACTAATAATTAACACATTTTAATATGTACACATTAACAGCATGGAGCAGTTTTAATTGCTGTAATGGTCTAAATTCTACTTAGTATTACATTGTCTTCGGGCTGGTGCCATGTATTTATTTACCAAATCACAATTGTTATTGCATGTACCGCTGCCATGTATTCATTCAAATTTATTGTGTAATGTATAACATTTAGCTCCCTCATACCTCTTAGGAGGAAGTAAAGGGAAATAAACATTATTATTATACATCTGTCACCGTAACGCCATAAGTTACAGCATGCTGTTTTTTGCAGTATTTTACGGGGTATTTTCATCCTATCATATTTGGAAATGCGAATTCCAAATATGGAATGATTACGCGCGCAAGCATCCTCTAATAATAATAAGAACAAACATGGCTGCCCCCAGGGTTTGATCGAATTCCACACAAAGAAGTTTGCTGATTCTGTTCTAAACTTTTTGGATTTCAGCATTCTCATGATGTATTATTGGGAGGAAAAGATGTATAATAATAAGGTCATTACGAGAATACCGAAAATAATGCACTCAGACAGTATGCCGCTGCATCGACCTCTGCTGTGCATTGATTGATACTCTCGCTGTACTGTCTTTATGCATACTTTTCGGTATCCTCATAAAAACCTCATATTAACCGTGACTTACTTGGCCTCCAGGACTACAGCTATTGAACCAGTAGCAAAAGGTGCAGCACTTGATGTACCAGTGAAGTGTTCTGTACACTGATGATTTAAAGAAGTTGTAATCTACAAAAGCAAAGAGTCAATAGATTAGCAAAACAGCCCCTTCTTGACATGAAACATGATTACTGACAACATAATAAATGTTTTGACATCTATAATTTGTTTTAGGAAATCTGTGAGTTATAAATTTCAAGATGTACACAGTGGTTTGAACTCTTTATGGTAAAAAAAAAAGAGTGAAGAAGTGAATATGACCCATTGAGGGCGCTCTACAAAATGAGACACTTATGATTCAACAAGTGGTTGCCAGTGTTAATGCACCCTGAATGATCATTAAACTTGATGCACTGTAAATTCGTGAAGTAGATACATTAGCTATGTATAATTAGATGAGTGAATACAACTATAAAATGCTGTGAGACAATTAATACCAGAGTTTTAGCTGGGAATGTGCAAGTATGTAATGATTTGGAGGAATATGGTACATCATATAATCATTTTTTTGAGTACCAAATTAGTTTACATTTTCAGTGAGTTTCATCAAATTCACTCTTTTTGATTTTGGTACAAAATTTGTTTCCAGTTTAAATATAGATAAATTTGGTCCACATTTTCTGTTATTTTCACTGAAGTTAATCTTAATTATGGAAAAAAAAACGACAAAATATGACATAGTTCTATTTTTTGACAAAGAAACTTGTCCTGTCTTGAATAAAAAAAAAAGTGGAACTTACCACCCAGTTATCATCAGATTCCAACATAACCCCCTCAGGTGCATTGTGTGTTGCACCAACTAATGTGACAGCCATGACAGGGGAGCAGGACTCAATAAAAAATGCACTGTGACCTTGTCCAGATATGGCACCAATGCCAATGGTGTATATACTACTAACATAGCCATCAGCTGCACAGTCGTCATCAGTCAGGCCACCATTACCAGATGCCCAAACATAAATGCTGCCTTTTCCATCTCGCCCCTAGAATTGAACACACAATGACTGAAATTAATCAAGATACATCATACACACTGAAATCATCAAAAATCTATTCATCACTAGCATTACAACTGCACTCTGATACTATTTAGTTTACTAGTATGTTTTCAATTACTAAGTTTCTCTCATACATGGTAGTAGGGTACCCATGAATCTTTTTAACTATTTTCTTTTTTCTAATACCATATGGCTTTATTTTAAGTAGCTGCTCACAAAATCAAGATGAAAAAATAAGTATCATCACCGAGCTAATTTTTGTACTGCAAAATGTGTCAGAAACCCATGATGGTGAACTGCGTCTGAACGGGGACTAAAAATATAGAACCCTAAAAAAGTGCAAGAAAGTGTTTTTTTGGGAAATTTAAACCTGAGATAATTATTTATTTTTTTACTTACATTTTCAACTCCATTCTTTAAAGCTTGAAAGCCCTCTTCCCCAGGTCCTTCAAATGTCTCACCATCATCCATAGGACCCCAACAACAGTTATAAATATCAATGTAATCAGAAGCATGGCTGAGTGCTGCAGCTTCAATGGCATCAGTAATTGGACCATCCAATACACGAATACCTACAACAAAATATCAACACATTATGACATCATCTTTACCATTAACATTCGGTCAGAGGCTACGGTGGGGGAAATAGTGACATACTGTAATCGCTTATTTTTGCTGCTAGAATTTTCTCGTTTTGAAGTTTTTGTGGCATTTGTGCAAACAAAATTTCATGAGATAGAATCACTGCTACAAAGATCTACGATTTTCACTGATTTGTGGGAATATTTCTTTTGAAAAATTAAAACATCCAGCACTCAATATTGTGTAATTTGGCATCCTATATAACTGCATATCTGGATTCATGAAACATATAACCAACCACCTGATCAAAATTTCAAATGTTCCCTTTGATTTTACAAACTACTGTAAAACATGTCTTTATCGCGAGCATGTCTTTTTAAGCGAATTAAGCAAGAGAACTGATTTGCTAATTCAAGATGTTGCTAATGACTTTATTATGAATTCAAAATGGCCGACAAACAAAGTCTTTTTCTCCACACACACTTTGTAAACAATACAAAAAAAAAAAAAAAAATCGGACTGACATGATAGATACACTTTATTGAAAAGTAAATTAACACAAAAAAATAAACGTATTCATTGTGGTCATTATTTCAATAAAAATAAATAAATGAAGTGATACTGATATATTATTATGGAAATTAGTAGTACTTAGTAATTTTTGAGTCCCAATACAATGTTCTGGATGTAACGCAGCAACGATACCCACTTTTTCAAATTTCTGTTGAATCATTTTTTTTATCATTGCGAACAGAATCAAATTACACTTGACAGTTTTTCTTGAGGTGGTGATAACTGCACATTTGTTTTGACGTGCAACAGACAAGTCTTGTGAAAATAGAAAATCAACAATCACAAGAGAGATCGCTAAATCAACATTTCGCTATTACGTCATTTTTCCACAAAATTGCATGACGCTTTTTTCAACATATTTTACAAGATGTAGGCCACCAACAAGTTCCATGTTAAACCTTTGGCTTCGTTTACATTGGATGCAGAACTGCATGATGGAAATAAAAATCCTGAATGTTCACTGAGCATATAACAAATTTTTGTTTGCATTTTAGCAATTATCCTCTTAATAAATCATTACTACAAACATAATAATAATAATATTAAAATGTCATGGAATACTGCAAATTATGCACTCACATTGGCCTTTGCTACACACTGGACAATACGATCACCATACTGTTTAAAGCATACCTTTCAGTATTCTCATTGAAAAACATCATCAAAACATATATAAACTATTTGTTTGCTTACCTCCAAGGCTGACACCATATGCCACACCCACACCACAAATACCATTATTAGCTTCGGCTCCGACTTCACCACCACACTTTGTACCATGACTATTTGAATTGAGAGAATCACATGTTATAACCAAAAAATAGAATGGTTACCGCTAGTTTTTTGATTTGTGAAGATCACCAACCATGGTAGCCGTCACTGTGAATCCCTGCCTTAATAAACACTATTAATAGTAAAATGTTTTTATTACTCAGAATTTTTTACTCTCGCTGACTCATGGCGATTGAGAAAATTTGAAAGTTTATAATGTTGTAAAGATTCAAATAATTTTTTTTTTCTCAACCAATAAACTCAATGTTTTGTAAAATAATTAAATGATAGTTGATGATAGAAAGTTCTCCTTTCCTTATTACATGGTAGCGTGATTCATCTGCTTGTAAATGTACTTACTCATTTTCTCCTTCCAGTGTTGGAGAGTCGTTGGGATGCGGATCTTGATCACCATCATTAACACCAGGGTGTGGACTGTATGGATTGGTTAAATTGTTGTAATCATAACTGGCATTCAAATCCTGAAGTATTAAAAAGAGTACAATATGTACAAAATTTATAATTTAATTATTTCTGTTAATTGTGATATTGTAGAAATTATTTAACAGGCTACATATACTGATTGGACAAGAATTTATGGGAAACTCAGATTACATTAAAGATAACTTTCCAAAGACATAAAAGTTCACTATTTTGATGTTTTCAGCATATTCACAGGGTTTTAAGTTTTAAATTTGCCATGGAAACAATATTTTATTGTTATTTTACATAATTATTCAGATTAAATTTAGCTGATTCTAATTATCAGTGAAAATAGGAAAATTAAAACCCAGTGAGTAATTAATGCATTTACAGTAGTTTTGCTCCTATAGCAGCAAAAGGAGTCTATAACACAAGTTATAAAATTTTGACATGCAAGTCATCTGCCAATAAAGCATAAGGAATGAGTTGTCACCCTTCAATGATGTATTGCTTTCATCTACATCTGTTACACACCGGAAATTCACCACCACTAGAAGGCGCTATTAATAAATCTTGAGGTCACGGGGCTTCCCCTGACTTAGATTTATTTCTTGGTCATTGGCTGAATTGCAGATTAATGCCTACAGTTCAAAATAGTCATTTTGACGGAGTCTATGGTGGGTAATTCAACGTAGTGAATTTCACTGCCACTAGAGGGCGCTATTATTAATAATGGAGTACTCGTTGAAATATTACATAGGAAATGCTGGGTATGTTTAAGGTAAATGCCATT